TCATGGAAAAAAAATATTTTCTTTAGCCTAACAGATTCTATGGAGATTTGATGGCAAGAAACCAACTACCTTAGGGCCCAATACTTGGTTATACAAATGGATGCCCCAGAATGACCTTCTTGGTAAGATTCTGGGGAAAAAATACGGAATATATCAGCATCAGCCAAGTGAAGTGATAGTAGGTCAAAAGTAACTAATATATTGAATATTTATTATTGAAAAATCAAAAATAAAACCTACCTACTTTATATTTATTTTTAGGTCTTGGGGGAAAAGAATAAACTGTAACAGCCGAGTTGGCATTTTATTAAATACACTCATGTTCTTTATGGCCATAAACAACGTTTCTTCATTTCAGGTTTGATTCCCTCTCACAGGGAATTTTCACTAATTTCCTCAGTTGTCTCTCTCTCCTATTTCTAGAACGTTATCCCTGTCCTTTCCCTCACTGCAGGATTATTCCACATGGCACTGAAAGATAACAGGTCCTCTTCTATTACCAGTGACTCTGCATTTTCTATGGGAATAAATCCCGGTCTTTATTACGCTGTGACAACATCTCCACAGGGAGGTGTGGCCTGTCCTTCCTCTGACCCCAGCCCTGCTCCCAGCACTCTCCCTGTCCCCTGGGCACCATGCGTGTCAGACTCCCTGACTGCACTGCTGCTTTCAGAGAACACGTTCTTACATGCCTAACCCTTTTCTTTACTTTTTCTTTTCCTTTTATATTATCTGTACATTTTCTTTTTCCAGAACGCGTTTTTTCATTTGTCCTCCTGGAAATCTTGTATCCATTTTTCCATTCTCGAGTCCCACACCATTTCCTCCCTGCAGCCTTCACTTTCCTCTCCTGCAAAAGTAGGCGCTTCCTCCCTCTGAAATCTGAATGCAATTTCAGGGAAGTTTTATGGGTGTTCTAATCTGCTATCTAGAAAACATTACCACTTTCAGTGTCCTGTATTGTGCATTTCTCATTTTATTCCTAAGACTTATAGTGAATAATTCTACTGATATTCACCCTATTCTAGGTCATCCAAAAACCAAGGCTTTCATAACTCATGGTGGAGCCAATGGCGTCTATGAGGCCATCTACCACGGGGTCCCCATGGTGGGCATCCCTTTGTTTGCGGATCAACCAGACAACATTGCCCACATGAAGGCCAAGGGGGCAGCTGTTAGAGTGGACTTCAACACAATGTCAAGTACAGATTTGCCCAGTGCTTTGAGGACAGTCATTAATGATCCCATGTGAGTTTAACAAATTTTTTTACTAAGTGGGATTTATATGTAGCTTCTCTTGTCAACACTGAGTATGAGTTTCATCCCTTTTTAGGAGACTAATGTAGAAAGAATTTAAATGATTTAACCAAAAAGAAATCTGGTTTTATTATCCACTTAGGCTGTGGAAGTTGCATTTGAAACTGATATTTTTAATGGGTAACCAATTAGTGCAAAAGTTTTCTATATAAAAACAACTTCAAGGATATATAGGTAAGTATGAAAAAATGTGATTTTTAAATCACAGAATATATAATATAAAGGAATAATAAACTGAGAAATATGATAAAATGTTTTAATTCAATACATAAAATTTCAGAAAGCATAACTCTTTTATTGATCAAAAATTTATTTTTATTATTACCTTTATATAATACATTTGACAATGAGATATATTTTACATAGCATAAAATTCACCTATTCAATGTATAAATCTAAATCTAGTTAGTATGTTTATAGTTATGAAGCCATCGCTGTGATATAATTCTAGGATATTTTTATCATCCCAAAAGAAAATGCATTATGTGTAGAAGTCAGTCCTCATAAACCCCTAGCCTAGAGAAATAACAATTCACTCTCTTTCTCTATAGATTATCTTCTCTGAATATTTCTTATAAATCTAATCATGAAATTTGTAGCATTTTTCAAATGGCTTCTTTCACATAGCATCATTATTTTTTAGTTTTGTCCATGTTGTTGTCTCTGTCAATATTTTGTTGCTTTTTATTGCTAGATAATATTCTTCCATATGATTATACCACATTTAATTTATCACTTATCAGCTCATGGACATTTTGATTGCTTCCATTTTGGGTTATTATGAATGTAGCTATACATGTTTTTGTGGGAAAATATGTTTCATTTCTTTTGTGTAGATACTAGGAATGGCATGGCACTACTGGGCCATATGGGAATTTATGTTTATGAAGAACTGCCAAACTGTTTCCAAAGTACTTTCACTATTTTTCATTACCACCAGCAGTATGGGAGGGTTCCAATTTCTTCACACTGCTCCCAACACTTGTTATCATCTATCTGTTTATAATAATGGTCATAGAGAGTGTAAAGAATACTCTCATTGTGGTCTTCATTTGCTTTTCCCTTAGAGCTAAAGATACTGGGCGTTTTTTCATGTGCTTACTAGTCAGTCATACATCTTCTCTGGAGAAGTATATATTTCAATCTTTTGAACATTAGGTGATTTTTAAAGTCATCTTATTATTGATTTAAAATAATTCTTTATATATTATGGATGTTATCCCTTCTCAGATATTATTTCAAAATATTTCTGTTCATTCTGGTGGAGTTGGTATATTACTTTATTGATGATGTTGTTTGAAGCACAAGGTTTTAATTTTGATAAAATAAATCTTTAATAATAAATGGTTCCATCCTCTAAAAGAAATAATTTGAAAATTCTGTGACTAGACAAGCTACCATCAATTCAGCATTTATTACTGCTATTAGTAATACAGTTACATAAGGCAGTATCACCAAAAGGTATACTGTAAAAGAAGAAAAGAATAGAATGTATTAAGAAGAAAAGAGTAGGATGATAAATGATAACAATGCTTTAAATAAGGCAGGAAATAATTAGAAAAGAAGGGTGGACAAATAAAAAAAACCAGACTAAGATGTAAATTTAAATGTAAATATAGCAATACTTATATTAAATGTAAACAGACAAAAAACCACAAAATATTGATTAAGGATATAAAACATTTGAAAAACATAATTACGAAAGTAGCCTATGTGATATATATACACTCACATGCATACACACACACATACACACGTATTTATATGTTTCACATATATATGTATAGAGGTATACACACACTTATATGTTTGTGTGTATATTTATCAACTGGGAATACACATTTTTCAAGAACATACTATATAGTTACCTAAATTAACTATGTGCTGGGTTATAGTCAAGACTAAGGAAATTTAAAAGATTCAGAATCATAAAGAATATATGGCTTAGCAATACTATAAATAAGTTAGGAATTATGAAAGAAAAGATAACTAAAAATCTTTAAATTTTAGAAATTAAAAATGTACTGAGTAACAAGTATGTTAGTGTCCTCATAATAATTATCGAGTTAAAATGTAAAATTTCAGAGTTAATAAGATAATCAAAATTACGCACGTTCCTTTATCTCAGCAATTCTTCTCCAAGTATATAGCCAACAAAAATGTATGAATATAGAAAATTAATGATATATATACAAAAATATTTATGCCAGAATTATTAGTAGTGTCCAAACATGTTCACATCTCATATGTCCATGAATTATAAAATGAAGAGATAATCTATGACATTTGTCAGTGAATGAGATACTACATAGCCAGGGAATTACCTAACAATTTCTATAAAAAAAGAAAAACACAAATGAGGACAGATTATATGACTTAATTACTTAAATAAGCAAAGCAAATCTATGTGGTTAGAAGATCAGGATAATACTGAATTTGAGATGGGACTAATGAGTAAAATTGTGTACAAAAAGAGGGTACTACATTGCAAGTGTGATACCATGTATCATGATCTGAGTAATAGGTACATTGGTGTCTTCATAATAATTGTCAAGTTTATTTTGAACATTTGAGTTGTTTACTTACTCAATATATAATTTATACTATGCATTTCATACTTAAGGGTTTATTTGAGAAATATACAACATATTTTAAATTCCAGGAATCAAATAAAAAAGCAAAAACAACACAGGAAATTCTAGAGGTGCTAACATATCAGGAAAAGCTGCTCTGAGAGATAGCATTTAATAAGAAGCGTCAAAAGGAGATACAAACAAGCTTTGTGTTGTTACAAGGAGGAATGCCCCAAGAGAGGGAGACAAGGGATGAAAATTGTAAGGGTGTTAACCTAAGAACATATTTTTATCTTAAAGGGTAATAAAAGGACAGTGTCCCTAGGAGACAGTGTGGATGGGGAAAGTGTTAGGAGAGGAAGTTCCAGTATTTGATGACGTAGGGTCCTGTAGACCAAAGGAGAGATTTGGTTATATTCTTAATGAGATGGGAAGGCAGATGGAAATCTTAATCAGGCAAAGGGAAAATGAGACATGGGTTTCCAAAATAATCATTCTGAGTCCTAGGTAGGAAACAGAGAGTAGAAGACAGAAGAGTAACATAGAAACAGGGAGACTGCTTAGGAGGCATTTCATCCACCATGACACAAATCCTTTTTGCAAACATCAAGATGATATTTTTCAGATTCCACTCCAATGCATTCCATTGCAATGTAGATGATGTTTCTGCATTTCCACTACCTTACTTATAGCACTTAGAATCATTCCAAATATTTCCTCTGCTTGAAAGATATTATATTTCCCAACTGACCTTCCATTTACACTTTTAAAAAGATTTCTTAATGATAAAATTCCAATTAAAAGCCAAACATATGACTTATGTTAAAATCTGATGACATTAAAATATTCAAATTTTGTCAATATTGTGGCATTTACATTGAATCACTTGTTGACACTTTTCAAAAACCTTTCATGAATTTTATATGTTTAGCCAATAAACTTACTTTCAATGTTAGAATCTTTATGTTTTTCTTTCCAGGTATAAAGAGAATGCTATGAAATTATCTAGAATTCACCATGATCAGCCAATGAGGCCTCTTGATCGAGCAGTCTTCTGGATTGAGTTTGTCATGCGCCACAAAGGAGCCAAACACCTTCGGGTTGCAGCCCACAACCTCACCTGGTTCCAGTACCACTCTGTGGATGTGCTTGGGTTCCTGCTGGCCTGTGTGGCAACTGCTATATTCATCATCACAAAGTGTATGTATTTCTGCCAGATGTTTGCTACAGCAGGAAAGAAGAAAAAAGGGAGTAATTAGATCTAGGCCTGATCATGCCAGAATAAAGAGGTGTCCCATAGAAGAAGGGGACCCAAGCACTCAGTGGATGGGTCAGCCTTTAGGTGATCTAATGCACCTGTTTCAGAACAAGGAAAAATGAAAATATTGGTATTTTCACTGATCTTTCTTTAGTTAATTTGTTCTGTCTATCAGATGGAGATACAAGTCCTTTATGATGATTTTCCTTGGTTATTGGCTCTTCTCCGGATCTGTCTCACAGCTAGGTTTGTCATCCTAGACCTTAGTTGGTGAAACTTTTCTCGTAAATGATTTCTGAATTTGCAGAAGACAGTTTCTCAGATCACCTTCAGGGTGTAATAAATAGCTCCACACTCAGAGGAGCCATGTCTCCTTCTTGCCCCGCCCACTATCAGATGTTGTGTACCAGGTGACAGCAAGACCCACGATCCTACTAGTGTCTTAGACACCCAGCGGGGTCAAATCTCTCTTATCAGGTAGCCTCCATTTCACCTTGTCTACTCATGTTTGTAGTTGTTCCTCATGCCATTTGTCACCTGGTCATTTGTGGCATTCTTTATTTCTATAAATCTATTGCCAAAGTTTTACAATTACATAAATAAATGTAAACCTTCCATCTGAAACATCACCCCAATTCCATGGGACGTAGGTTGATGACTACGTCACCCCTCCTCCCATAGATACGGAAGGATAAAACGGACAGTGGGGAATACGTAGCAGGGAAAGACCTAGAAAAGTGTGAAATGTATTGCAAGATGTCTCTTTAAAACCTACCCCACGCCTTTTGGGAATTAAACCCTCTATCCCTGCCCCAGGCCAGTGGTCAGGAGGGTCAGGGAAGTGTCCTTTGTACTTTGTACCATAGGAGATGACTCAAGGGAACTGTCTGGGCAGACGTCACAGATTGTCTTCCCTGGAGATGGAACTGATCAGAACCATCAACTATAGTTGAATAGTAATACCTTAAAGCCAAATACCCTCCCTTTAAGAACTGTGTATTTCTGCTGATAGAGAGAAAGCTGGCATTATAAGATAAGAGTCTCCATCCTCCTTCTTTGCCAGCAAATTAATAAACCTCACTTTCCTTCTCCTCAGAAACCTTGTCCTCCTTCTTCTCATGTGGCCTTGGGGACAAGTACTGAACTTCAAGTAACACTTGCTGTCCCAACTAATCTGAAAGCACAGCTCAGAAGATTAATTAAGATGAAGATTTGAAGCCTGGCTTGTGCAATATAGAGAAACACCTACCTGAAAGAATAAAACAGAGATAAAATTAAAAGAAATAGCCAAAGAAATCTTAAAGAAGTAAATTGGAAGACACACTTCCTACTTCTAAAGACACATACAAATCTATGATAATCAAGAGAGTGTGGTAGTGTGTTGTACAGCCATGCAGATAAACAAATAAGCAAATCAAAAATGGACTAAAGATTTGAACAAAAATTTCTGTCAAGAAAAAACACACAACAGGTGAAAAGCACAAGAAAAAAGTTCAATACCTTTAGAAAATCATGAGATATCATTTCAGTGCCACTGGTTATAATCAAAAGTTATATAACAAAAAGTTCTTGCAAGGATGTGGAAAATTGAAAGCCTCATATATTGCTGGTTGGAATGGAAAATGGTGCAGCCATTGTAGAACAGTCCAGCAATTCCTTGAAAGGGTCAACATACAGGTAGCATATGACCCAGTAATTCTAATTCTAGGCATATGCACAAAAGAAATCAAAATATATCCATACAAAGCCTGTACATGAATATTAATAAGCAATAATAAACACTGTAACAATGTTAACAAAAAATAAATAACATTAATGTTTATTAAAACTATTAAGAGAAGAGTCTATGTTAATAATATATGAATGATTTTGGTTTTTATGAAAGCCAAAAATTGAACAAAATCCATATCCATCAATTGATAAATGAAAAAATAAATTGCGTATGCCCATATGATACAATACATTTGGCAATTAAAAGGAATGTAGTCCACATATAAGGGATGCCATGCATGATCCTTCTTAAATATTATGCTCAGTGAAAAAAGCAACTCATGAAGAACCACATAGTTATGATTCCATTAATCAACTTGTACATAAAATGAAAATTTATTGATACAGAAATAAGATTACTGGTTGCTTAGGGCAGGGGGCATGGAGAAACATAGGGTGGGAAGATAAAAGCAAAAGTGCACAGGGATTCTTTTAGGGAGATAAAACTATTCATTGTAGTAGAAGCGCAATTCTATGAACACATGTAGGAAACAGTAAATTTTAAACAAAATGGTGAATCATATGAGATATACATTACATATCAACAAAGTTTTACCAAAAAATAATCTTTGAACCATGATATTCAACAATACTGACTCAGCTACACACAATTGCTTTATTTCTACTTCTGTATTAAGGGACTGCGCACAAAGGAGCCTCACACTTGTCACAATTTTTGACACCATTCTAGAATACATCACATAAAACAGATTACTTTCACATGCGAGGTCATCAAAATCAGCTGGATTATAGCACTCACAAACATAAAAGGGACATTAAACACACTTGAATAAATATGAATTCATCTAACTTCGGTATGTCCACTTGCCAACCACATACTCAGACTGTTCAGTTAATGCTTACTATAAAGTGTAGGAGTTAAATTTTAACTTGATTGATTTGTGCTTGGATATAAGCATGAGAAAGGGCAGGAGAGAACAGCAATTGTACTGCAGCACAATGGCTCTGCTGTGGACTTCAGTTCTTCTGCTGATGCAACTGAGTGGTCACTTTAGCTCTGGGACTTGTGGGAAGGTGCTGGTGTGGCCCACAGAATACAGCCACTGGAGGAACATGAAGACAATCCTGGATGAACTTGTCCAGAGGGGACATGAAGTGACTGTACTGTCATCTTCAATGTCCGTTGTTATTGATCCCAGCAAAACAACTGCTATTAAATTTGAAGTTTATCCTACATCTTTAAGTCAAGAGGACTTTGATGGTTTTTTAATGAAAATGCTCCATAGAGCAATATATGATCTTCCAAAGGACAAATTTTGGTCAGGTGTTTCACAAATGGAAGAAATCATGGCAGGATTTTCGGAAGTTATGAGAAAGCTCTGCAAAGATGCAGTTTTAAACAAGAAACTTATGGCAAAGCTACAAGAATCAAAGTTTGATGTCCTTTTTGCAGATGCCATTGGTTTCTGTGCTGACCTGCTGGCTGAGATACTCAAAACACCCCTTGTGTATAGTCTCAGCTTCTCTCCTGGCCACACATTTGAGAAGCATGGTGGAGGACGTCTATTCCCTCCTTCCTATGTACCTGCAGTTATGTCAGAATTCAGTGATCAAATGACATTCATGGAGAGGGTAAAAAATATGATATATGTGCTTTACTATGACTTTTGGTTCCAAATATGTGATATGAAGAAGTGGAATCAGTTGTATCTTGAAGTACTAGGTGAGTCATGTTTTTAATTGGTGGTTATTAATTTCCAGTTTTCCTTGTACCTTGGAAGGCGAGCTTGTATGAATATAAAGTCAGAAGAGTATATGTTTTGCAAATGTAACTATGAAATAAAAATACAGATGATCTAGCAATCTCACAAATATTATGGAAAGATTATGGAATCAGTTAAAACCTTGTGGTCATAATTTAAACAGGACACTCCATGAAGTCCTAAATATACATGCTAAAGCAGAGAGGAGTTTTTAAACAATCTCATATCTCCTATACATTATTTCCATGTCTAATACAAGTTAATAGATACATCAAGAAACATCTTGATGAAGGCAGATGTGTAGATAGAGGAATTAAACATTTTTCTAGTACAACCATTAATGTGGCATTGAAGAATTTGTTTCTCCTTGGGTAACTTATTTTTTCTATTAAGAAATTAAAATGGTTTTTTCTATATATCCAGAAGAAATCCTTCACAGTTGAGAGATCAGTCTATCTCACAAATGGACATCAAAAATTTGAGATTTCCAACATTTCTATGTTCCTTCTCAAAGGGCTTGAAGATTATCTGTTTTAAGGCCTAAAATTTTACTGATGTGTGAGCATCCAAGTTTGTGTCTATATTTTATTAAATTATATAACTACATTAAGAAAAATATGAGCCAAATGAGGGGGTAGCAAAAGCTGTTCATTTCAATAATTTTGGAAAATTTATACTTGTTCTTAAATATATCTATTGTTAGTAGTATTTCTTTTTTTGAGACAAAGTCTCACTCTGTCTCCCAGGCTAGAGTGTCGTGGTGTCAGCCTAGCTCACAGCAACTGCAAACTCCTGCATCAGCCTCCTGGGTAGCTGGGGCTACAAGCACTTGCCACCATGCCCAACTAAGTTTTCCATTTATAGTAGAGATGGGGTCTCACTCTTGCTCAGGCTGATCTGGAACATCTGAGCTCAAGGGATCCTTCTGCCTCAGCCTCCCAGAGTGCTAAGATTACAGGTGTGTGCCACCACACACACATTTATATTAAACTACTAATTTTATTAAGATCTTCACATGAAACAAAAGTAGTAGTAGGTACCAGAATTTCAACCATATATTCAAAAAACTCTTGATACACTTGGAGAAGGAAGGATCATGAGACTAGTTTCATAAATTGTAGAAATTAAACTGAGTTCTTATTAGAAGGAATTTTATGGGTTTGGTAGGATTAATGGATAGTGGAACCCCAAGAGTGGCTTGGATGTATATTTGTTACTACTTAGCTTTAGAAAATAAACTAATTCATGGGTAATGCCATAGTGGATTATATTAATGATTATTTATTTATTTATTTTAAGTTGGATGTTTTATTTTTATTTTATTTTATTTTTATTTCAGCATATTATGGGAATACAAATGTTAAGGTTACATATATTGCCCATTCCCTCCTCCCCCCTCCCACCCACCCAATACCCAATAAATATTATTCCTATATGTCCACTTAAGTGTTGATCCGTTAATACCAATTTGCTGGTGAGTACATGTGGTGTTTGTTTTTCCATTCTTGAGATACATCAAGAATGGAAACCCATACTTAGTAGTATGGGTTCCAGCTGTATCCAGGCATATACAAGAGGTGCTTTATCACCATTGTTTCTTAAAGCTGAGTAGTACTCCATGATTGTAAATATACTGATCTGATGTTAGAGACATATCTTCTCTAAGAATTTTCTTAATACTTTGCTTTCCTTTGGCTACGTTTTAGGAAATTACATTTATATTTTCATGACAACTCTCTTGTGTCATCTATGTTTTCTTTTTTTTCTCCCCTTCAGGCAGACCCACTACATTGTATGAGACAATGAAGAAAGCTGATATGTGGCTTATTCGAACCTATTGGGATTTTGAATTTCCTCGCCCACTCTTACCAAATTTTGATTTCGTTGGAGGACTCCATTGCAAACCTGCCAAACCCCTACCTAAGGTGAATATATTCCTATTTGTTTGGCTTTGTTTATTGATTGTAAGAGTTGAGGCTCTTCACATTGTTCTAGCTTAAAAGGAACACTGTTTCTCACCAATGTTAAGGTGTCCCCAAAATGTTGACAGCAAAACGTAATGTTCACTTGTTTCACTCCAGCATTGAGAGCATTCCTCACTGAGATCCCAGAGTTTTACCTCTTAGAGCACAAAAGGGATGGTTTACCTTATCAGAGCAGGTGTTTCCTGCCTTAGGCCAAGTCTGTAGGACACCTCAATAAAGCTCCCTGGGGAAACTTTTGTCTCAACATAATAATTGCCTATTAGAGAAGCACAGAATGCATATAAAATATAGACCAAATAAAGTCTACAATGTGAATCTTAAAAGTAACCTTAGATTTTAATTTGCAAAAGAATTATGCCAGAATATAAAATAATAATTCCCTATGGTGGAACATAGGAACTAAATATATTTTACTTTAATATCATACTTTTAAGACTAAAGGAAAAGCAATCTTTCTTAGTGCACTATTATATGATCTTTTTGTCTACCTTCTTTTTTTGGTGATCTCAGCATATTATGGGGGGTACAAATGTTTAGGTTATGTATGTTGCCTTGCCCCCCCACACAGATTCAAAGCTTCAAGCACGCCCATTCCCCACATGGTGCACCTCACACTCATTATGCATGTATATACCCATCCCCTCTTCCCCCCTCCCATCTGCCTGACGCCCGATAAATGTTATTCCTATATGTCCACTTCAGTGTTGATCAGTGAAACAAATTCTCTGGTGAGTATATGTGGAGCTTATTTTTCCATTCTTGGGATACTTCACGTGCGGGAGAACTGTATGAGGATATAAAATAGCCGTACCACGGCTGGTCCGAACTAGCCAACTAGGGCAAACACTGTGGAGACGCGCAGTATTGTGAAATAAACGTAGATCTACCATTGGGTCCTCCCATCCCCCATCTCAACTAGGTGCTCCTAGGACCCGCATCAACCCAAAAGAACAAAAAGACATCTGCACTTGAAATAGTTTATAGACCGACAAGTTCACGCTAAATCGCTGACCATATATAAATGTGGAAACAAAATCGCGCGCATAGGGATGCCTCAACTACAATGAATCCAGCCTAGCACTTATATACATAAAATGATGAATCACTAATGAGTCAATTATTACCACTCTGAGTAGCATTTAGCTGAGTAAGAGCGACGATGGTGATATAGTAGCAACCTCTTGGTAATTTTCCTGGATACGAGCTGGAACCCATTCTACTAAAT